AAAAGTAAAAGAATTACGAATCTACCATTGGGAAACAATTGGAAATAAAACCTACAACGAAGTCCATAAAGGACAACTATATCACTGCTGCAACTGCTAACAACCAGTTAGAAAGAATGATCATTTCACCTTAACGGATTCCCACGTGATAAACTTAAATAATGAATCAACCTATTACAGAGAAGTATTGCTCTGCAAAACATGTTACCATACGCATTATGAATATCTTGATATTGAAGATCCCAAAGCACAAGAATACTATACCAAAGAAGGAATTAACAAATTAACTGAATGCGTATATTGTTGCAGAACATTCAAAAAAAGACAAGGTTACCAACTTTGGAATACCAGAACATACCTATGTACTATAGAAGAAAAAATTGCATATATGGTACTAGGAGAACTCAGAGAAAGACCAACCTATACTCGATGGAATAGAATTCACCACCGAACAAGATATGGAAAAGATGCTGTCAAGACCATTAATGAAACTAAAGTAAATAGACTGATCAACTTGATGATTGAAGAAGGAGACTTATTGTCCCAACAAGAAGGAACTACAACTTATAACCAAAAACAAGTAATCCAACAAGAAAAAGAAACCAATCAAGTATTTGACTCATTACAAAAAAATGGAATATCAAACAGCTTCACATGATGAATACAGAGATATTTTTAACGATTCCGTTAAAATCATTCTAAATGAAGATTTAACCGAAGAACTGGTCAACTCGGAAAATCTAGCAGAAGAAATGCGAGACGCTCAACAAAATCTAAAAGAACAAGATATTGCAACATATACAATGGACCAAGACTATAAACCACCTGTTGAACTTAATAGTAAAAATTGGAAACAAAAAACTAAAGCATTCAAAGTATACAAGAACCTTTATTAGATATTAAAAATAAAGACTTATGTTCTGAATGCAAATATCCCTATGATGAAAAAGATTTGATTGATAACATTTGCAATGAGTGCTACAAAGAAAGCACACTTCCATGTGCTATCTGTCAGAATGAAATACTTAGAATTAATCTCAAAAGAAATATTTGTGAAAAATGTTTTGAACCAGAAATAATGATCGATACAATGATCAATATTACACCAAAGTGTAACCACTGCAAAAACGAAACATCTGCGAATTTATTACAAAATAGAAAATGTAATATGTGCAGAAAAATTTAAGAAAAAGATGAAATCCAAGAAATTTCACAAGAAGAGTTTAAACCAAAAGAAGCGAAACAGAAAAAAGAAGAGTTTAACTTTGATAAAATTGAAAGAACCGAAATTGAACAAATCAAAAAAAACATCATTAACTTACAAAAACTAGCGAATGAACAAGCTAAACATATTCAAATTCTGAAACAAGCAATTAAAATCCACCAATTAATGTTTAACGAACTTCACCAAGAAAATACTAATCTCAAACGAAAGTTTGAAGAATTTGAAGAA